GTGTGGGATCTGTTTATGACCATTAGATTACGGTGTTTGCAATCCTCTGATGCTATGGGAAGGGAGGGAAACAGGTCCATGATGTAGGAAGTGGTAAAGGAAGTAGTAAAGGTGAGCAGTCCGGACTGTGGGGACTGTTTGTGACGATTAGATTAAGGTATCTGCAATCATAAAATGCTATGGGAAGGGAGGAAAACAGGTCCGCGACGTAGGAAGTGGTGAAGGAAGTAGTCAAGGCGAGCTGCCTGGATGTGGAAACTGTTTATGACGATTAGATTAGGGTATCTACAATCCTAAAATGCTATGGGAAGGGAGGAAAACAGGTCCGTGATGTAGGAAGTGGTGAAGCAAGTAGTTAAGGCAAGCTGTCCGGAGTGTGGGAACTGTTTATGACGATTAGATTAAGGTATCTGCAATCCTAAAATGCTATGGAAAGAGAGGGAAACAGGTCCGTGACGTAGGAAGTGGTGAAGGAAGTAGTAAAGGCGAGCTGTTCGGGGTGGTGGGATCTGTTTATGACCATTAGATTACGGTATTTGCAATCCTCTGATGCTATGGGAAGGGAGGGAAACAGGTCCATGACTTAGGAAGTGGTGAAGGAAGTAGTAAAGGTGAGCAGTCCGGACTGTGGGGGCTGTTTGTGACGATTAGATTAATGTATCTGCAATCCTAAAATGCTATGGGAAGGGAGGAAAACAGGTCCGAAATGTAGGAAGTGGTGAAGTTTGTAGTAAAGGCGAGTTTTTTGGAGTGTGGGATCTGTTTATGACCAATAGATTAAGGTATTTGCAATCCAGTATAGTAAGGGAAGGGAGGGGGAAACAGGTCCGTGAAGTAGGAGGTAGTGAAGGAAGTAGTAAAGGCGAGCAGTCTGGAGTGTGGGAACTTTTTATGAAGATTAAATTAACGTATCTGCAATCCTTCAATTCTAAGGGAAGGGAGGGAAACAGGTCCGTGACGTAGGAAGTGGTGAAGGAAGTAGTAAAGGCGAGCTGTCCGGATGTGGAAACTGTTTATGACGATTAGATTAGGGTATTAGCAATCCTAAAATGCTAGTGGAAGGGAAGGAAACAAGTCCGCGACGTAGGAAGTGGTGAAGGAAGTAGTAAAGGCGAGCTGTTCGGGGTGTGGGATCTGTTTATGATCATTAGATTACGGTGTTTGCAATCCTCTGATTCTATGGGAAGGGAGGGAAACAGGTCCATGACGTAGGAAGTGGTAAAGGAAGTAGTAAAGGTGAGCAGTCCGGACTGTGGGGACTGTTTGTGACAATTAGATTAAGGTATCTGCAATCCTAAAATGCTATGGGAAGGGAGGAAAACAGGTCCGCGACGTAGGAAGTGATGAAGGAAGTAGTCGAGGCGAGCTGCCTGGATGTGGAAACTGTTTATGACGATTAGATTAGGGTATCTACAATCCTAAAATGCTATGGGAAGGGAGGAAAACAGGTCCGCGATGTAGGAAGTGGTGAAGCAAGTAGTCAAGGCGAGCTGTCCGGAGTGTGGGAACTGTTTATGACGATTAGATTAAGGTATCTGCAATCCTAAAATGCTGTGGAAAGAGAGGGAAACAGGTCCGTGACGTAGGAAGTGGTGAAGGAAGTAGTAAAGGTGAGCAGTACGGACTGTGGGGACTGTTTGTGACGATTAGATTAAGGTATCTGCAATCCTAAAATGCTATGGGAAGGGAGGAACACAGGTCCGTGACTTAGGAAGTGGTGAAGGAAGTAGTAAAGGTGAGCAGTTTGGACTGTGGGGGCTGTTTGTGACGATTAGATTAATGTATCTGCAATCCTAAAATGCTATGGGAAGGGAGGAAAACAGGTCCGCAATGTAGGAAGTGGTGTAGCAAGTAGTCAAGGCGAGCTGTCCGGAGTGTGGGAACTGTTTATGACCATTAGATTAAGGTATCTGCAATCCTAAAATGCTATGGAAAGAGAGGGAAACAGGTCCGTGACGTAGGAAGTGGTGAAGTAAGTAGTAAAGGCGAGTTGTTTGGAGACCCGCAACGCATGCATTAAAACGACTGTTTTTACCGCAGTATGTCAAAAACAATATAATATGAGCCCTTGATGACTCCGCTCAATTTTGTGGATGCCTCTGCGAACGCCACCTAGTTTGTTTTACATTTGAGCTTTTTAGGGACTTATGTCCCTACAAGCCACTAGTTTTAGCAAATTTCCCTATAGGGAAGTAGCTATTACCGTAGGTCTCATGGTAAGACCTAGGCCCGGGACCGATTTACTTTTTCATTTTGATGTCCCCAGAGGCCAAAAACACCATTCGTTCAAATTTTTATATATATATTTTTATATTTTTATCAACATTCCCATGAGTAACGAAGACTTTATTGAAGAAAAAGAACATATCACAAAATTAGCAAAGAGTCATGGATACAGCAGCAAAACCGTAGAAAAAATGATAAAGAAAAAAGCAGGCATGAAAAACCAACATGTCGAGAAAGAAGAAAGAAAACATGAATTTTTATGCCTACCTTACTCAACTACATTTAACAAAGCATATAGGAAAACATTTAACAACCAAAATTATAAGTTATCATACAGAACAAGAAACAATTCATTTGATTTAATTAACAAATTTTCACAGTGAAACAACAACGTATCAGACATAAAAGACAAATCTGGCATATACAAATTAAACTGCAGTTCCTGCTCAAAATTCTATATTGGCCAAACAGGACGAAATTTTCAAAGTAGATACAAAGAACATATTCAAGCAATTAAATCAAACAACAGAACTACACAAAAATCTACATTTGCAGAACACATACTTTCTACAGACCATACATACAAAAATTATAACGAAAACATTACCATACTAGACATTATTAACAAAGGAACCAAAATGAACATAAAAGAAAATTTTCACATATATAAACACTACAAAGAAGACAGAAACAACATTTTAAATATAGTACACACACAAACCACTAATCCTATATTTAACAAAATTATAAGTGTTAGAAAAACCAACAACTAAACATTCATTCACATAGGTACTAACAAAATTAACAGCTGTATTTATTCATAACATAATATTTTTGTTTGAAATTAGGTTAACACACTTGAAAATGTCCTTAGAGACGAAACATGTTGTGATTTATTAAATAAAAAAGAATATAAAAAAAGGGTACTCATGTTATTTTACATATTATTTATTAATATATATATATATATATATATATTTATATATATATATATTATTTTCTTGCATTTTTAGGGCTACTAATATAATAAAATTAAAACATATATAACAAAGTACCCTTTTAGTAATTATTTTATTTTATTTTATTTTATATGTAAGTCATGAAAAATAAAATAATTACTAAAAGGGTACTTTGTCATATATGTTTTAATTTTAATATATATATCTAATATATCAAATTCTCGTGTCATTGTCTGCAAACTCCTCTGGAACGACTTCACCGATCGTTATGAAATTTGGTGTGTAAATTCTGTAGGTATGCGAATCGGACGTAAACTATTTCCCGTTTCGAAATTCTTAAAAGGGCTCCGCCCCAGTGGCTCTGGAGTTTCCCATGTTAACCTTATGAGAAATGGAATTAATGAATCTTAACAGCTGTTTCAATTAAACAAGTTGGTTCTGTTCTATGATGTTCAATAGCATTAAAGTTACAAGGATTACCAACAGGGTGCAGCACTATTATTTCTTTTACATTTATGACAACAGCTAATTTGCAACCAAAAGGTGAGTGAGCGTAGCGAACGAACTTCAACCTGGAGGCGAGTTAGCGTAGCGAACGAGCTAACCTGAAGGCAAGTGAGCGCAGCGAACGAGCTCCAACCTAAAGGTGAGTGAGCGTAGCGAACGAGCTCCAACCCAAAGGTGAGTGAGCGTAGCGAACGAACTTCAACCTGGAGGCGAGTTAGCGTAGCGAACGAGCTAACCTGAAGGCAAGTGAGCGCAGCGAACGAGCTCCAACCTAAAGGTGAGTGAGCGTAGCGAACGAGCTAACCTGAAGGCAAGTGAGCGCAGCGAACGAGCTCCAACCTAAAGGTGAGTGAGCGTAGCGAACGAGCTCCAACCCAAAGGTGAGTGAGCGTAGCGAACGAACTTCAACCAGGACATGATTGAGCGATGCGAACGAGATCATCTTGAAAATTAAACGTAACGGTACTTTCTTTCCATCGGTCTGTCTTAGGGGAAACCTATAACTTAGGCGATACGAATTTCGCCGGGTCAGCTAGTATATATATATATATGTGTGTCCATCCGTATGATAACTTGAGTAATTTTTGTCCGATTTTGATAAAATTTGGTTTGAAGGTGTAAGGCGGGATAAACTTGAACGAGTTCGCGAACCAGCGTGATCGGACCATGGGAACGGGGGTTTACGGGGGGTTTTATGGGGTAAAAATAGGTTTTTCCTATTTTTGACCCAAAAAACATCAAATTTAGCAATTTCTTTCCTAACCATTTTGTAGAGCTTAAAAAAACAAATAATTTAGTATATTGAAGTGTTACTATGCGCCTAATAATTACGGAAAAAATTCCAAAAAAATGTAAAAGTTCAATTCCCATGTTATTCTTATGGAGAACAAGTAAACTGTTGTAGTATGCTTGTTTATGAACATATTTTGATCAAATTTGGAAAATGTTTTTATTTCTTACTAACTATTAACACTTTACAAAAAACAACTGTTTTACCCTCCCTGATGCAGCAAACCTAAGTACCAGTTAAAACTAATTCTATTTAAATAGGAAAAAATTTGTTAAATTTTTAAGTAGACATTTTAGTCTAAATCTAATCAGGCAAATAGAAATTCGCTTAGTCTGCAGGTTTACTGCGGCGGGGGTATTTTAAAAGCCCAATGATCGAGGACAGTTGGGTTTAGTTCAAAAAGCTAATGGACTTTTGATCACCAGGCGAGCACTATAACCAATCAGCTATCGAGCTATATTTTTTCTCAGAAAATGCACAAACACTAAACTGTGTAATAGACTATTTTACATTTCTAGGATTATTTGGAGAAGAAGGATGCTAGAGGAAGGTCACCTTTATTGTTAGCTGTTACACTTGGACATCTCGAATCCTCGAGACTTCTTATGGAACATGGAGCAAACATCAACACTGAAAATAAAGAGGGATGGACAGGTGATTAAATATTTTAACAAATTTCTCCATAGGGAATGTTCTGTTACCGCTGGTCCATGGTAAAACCTAAACCCGGGACCGATTCACTTTTTTGTTTTTAGGTCCATAGAAATATCTGAATGTTTATTGCACCCACAACACTGGATAAGCACAGTAGTTCAAATCTGTACCCCCAGCTTACAGAAATATCTGACTGTCTATTGCACCCACAACACTGGATAAGCACAGTAGTTCAAATCTGTATCCCCAGCTTACAGAAATATCTTACTGTCTATTGCACCCACAACACTGGCCAAGCATAGTAGTTCTAATCTGTATTCCCTGGTTACGGGAATATCTGACTGTCTATTGCACCCACATTACTGGCAAAGCATAGTAGTTCAAATCTGTATCCCAGGTTACAGAAATATCTGACTGTCTATTGCACCCACAACACTGGATAAGCATAGTAGTTCTAATCTGTACCCCAGGTTACAGAAATATCTGACTGTCTATTGCACCCACATTACTGGCAAAGCATAGTAGTTCAAATCTGTATCCCAGGTTACAGATATATCTGACTGTCTATTGCACCCGCAACACTGGATAAGCATAGTAGTTCTAATCTGTACCCCAGGTTACAGAAATATCTGACTGTCTATTGCACCCACAACACTGGATAAGCACAGTAGTTCAAATCTGTACCCCCAGCTTACAGAAATATCTGACTGTCTATTGCACCCACAACACTGGCCAAGCATAGTAGTTCTAATCTGTTTCCCTGGTTACGGGAATATCTGACTGTCTATTGCACCCACATTACTGGCAAAGCATAGTAGTTCAAATCTGTATCCCAGGTTACAGAAATATCTGACTGTCTATTGCACCCACAACACTGGATAAGCATAGTAGTTCTAATCTGTATCCCCAGGTTACAGATATATCTGACTGTCTATTGCACCCACAACACTGGATAAGCACAGTAGTTCAAATCTGTACCCCCAGCTTACAGAAATATCTGACTGTCTATTGCACCCGCAACACTGGATAAGCATAGTAGTTCTAATCCGTATCCCAGGTTACAGAAATATCTGACTGTCTATTGCACCCACAACACTGGATAATCATAGTAGTTCTAATCTGTATCCCCCAGGTTACAGAAATATCTGACTGTCTATTGCACCCACAACACTGGATAAGCATAGTAGTTCAAATCTGTACCCCCCGCTTACAGAAATATCTGACTGTCTATTGCACCCACAACACTGGATAAGCATAGTAGTTCTAATCTGTATCCCCAGGTTACAGAAATATCTGACTGTCTATTGCACCCACAACACTGGATAAGCATAGTAGTTCTAATCTGTATCCCCAGGTTACAGAAATATCTGACTGTCTATTGGACCCACAACACTGGATAAGCATAGTAGTTCAAATCTGTACCCCCCGCTTACAGAAATATCTGACTGTCTATTGCACCCGCAACACTGGATAAGCATAGTAGTTCTAATCTGTATCCCCAGGTTACAGAAATATCTGACTGTCTATTGCACCCACAACACTGGATAAGCATAGTAGTTCAAATCTGTACCCCCTGCTTACAGAAATATCTGACTGTCTATTGCACCTTCAACACTGGATAAGCATAGTAGTTCTAATCTGTATCCCCCAGGTTAATGAAATATCTGACTGTCTATTGCACCCGAAACACTGGATAAGCATAGTAGTTCAAATCTATAACTCCTGCTTACAGAAATATCTTACTGTCTATTGCACCTGAAACCCTGGATAAGCATAGTAGTTGAAATCTGTACCCCCCACTTACAGAAATATCTGACTGTCTATTGCACCCGAAACACTGGATAAGCATAGTAGTTGAAATCTGTACCCCCCGCTGACAGAAATATCTGACTATTTATTGCACCCGCAACACTGGATAGACACAGTAGTTCAAATCTGTATCCCCCAGGTTACAGAAATATCTTACTGTCTATTGCACCCACAACACTGGCCAAGCATAGTAGTTCTAATCTGTACTTCCAGGTTCAGAAATATCTGACTGTCTATTACACCCACATTACTGGCAAAGCATAGTAGTTCAAATCTGTACCACCCGCTTACAGAAATATCTGACTGTCTATTACACCTGCAACACTGGATAAGCTTAGTAGTTCAAATCTGTACCCCCTGCTTACAGAAATATCTGACTGTCTATTGCACCCACAACACTGGATAAGCATAGTAGTTCTAATCTGTATCCCCAGGTTACAGAAACATCTGACTGTCTATTGCACCCACAACACTGGATAAGCATAGTAGTTCAAATCTGCACCCCCTGCTTACAGAAATACCTGACTGTCTATTGCACCCACAACACTGGATAACCATAGTAGTTCTAATCTGTATCCCTTCAGGTTAATGAAATATCTGACTGTCTATTGCACCCACAACACTGGATAAGCATAGTAGTTCAAATCTGTACTTCCCGCTTACAGAAATATCTTACTGTCTATTGCACCCGAAACCCTGGATAAGCATAGTAGTTGAAATCTGTACCCCCCGCTTACAGAAATATCTGACTGTCTATTGCACCCAAAACACTGGATAAGCATAGTAGTTGAAATCTGTACCCCCCGCTTACAGAAATATCTGACTGTTTATTGCACCCGCAACACTGGATAAACACAGTAGTTCAAATCTGTACCCCCAGCTTACAGAAATATCTTACTGTCTATTGCACCCACAACACTGGCCAAGCATAGTAGTTCTAATCTGTACTTCCAGGTTCAGAAATATCTGACTGTCTATTACACCCACATTACTGGCAAAGCATAGTAGTTCAAATCTGTATCCCCAGTTTACGGAAATATCTGACTGTCTATTGCACCCACAACACCTGCCAAGCATAGTAGTTCTAATCTGTACCCCCAGGATATGGAAATATTTGTAATATTTCATTTTGTAGGGCAGTTAAATTTATTTTTGAGTTACGCTCATTGTCAAGTTGTGTTTTAACTGTGATTTACTTCTATTTTGTGCTCAAAATTAGATTTATGTTCTTCTAACTGTGATTTTACGGTACAGATTATTTGTTCTTGGAATTTGTTATGCTCTATTTCGGAATTAAATTGTGGTTTTGATATGCTGTTAACAACAAATTGTTTCAACTGATTTTTTTAGAGTCTTCAATTTTTAACATTAGCCGATCATTTAATTTAGCTGTTTCTTCAGTTAAAATACTTTGTGTTAGTTTTATGGCATTTATTTCTGACTTTATTTCAATTTGACTTTCTCTAGACTCACCAATTCCCCACCCCTACCCACTATCCCTACCCCTCTCCCACGCCTACTCCTCTCCCACGCCTACCCCTCTCCCACGCCTACCCCTCTCCCACGCCTACCCCTCTCCCACGCCTACCTCTCTCCTGTGCCTCCCTCTCTCCCGCGCCTACCCCTCTCCCATACCTACCGCTCTCCCACACCTAACCCCTCTCCCGCGCCTACCCCTCTCCCACGCCTACCCCTCTCCCACGCCTACCCCTCCAGACTAAAACAAAATAAAATAAAATAAATAAATTAATTAATTAATTGTTGTCCTTTTGTTGAATGTATTTTGACATATTTGTGATTCAAATCCGTTTCTTCATGCTTGGATTTCTTGGTAGGTTTCGTTTATTTTATTGTTAAATGTTTGAATTAGTTTAGCTTCAGTTTGATTAATCTGCAGTTTTGTTATTTCTTGAATTTCTGATTTAGTTTCACGGATTTCTGACTTTAATTCAGCAGTTATTTCTTGAATTCTTGATTTAGTTTCACGGATTTCTGGCTTTAATTCAGCACTGGTTTGTTCAAACTTTATTACTCAAGTTGGTCATAAGGTTAACTAATGTGTTCATATCAATTGAGGGTGTCTGTACTGGAGGATTTGTGTCGTTTAATTCATCAGTTGAAGTTTCGAAATGTGTACGGAGCTCGAGATTCACATTATGAATGGCACAGACTGTGTTTGAATTATATCAGTATCAGCTGTTCGTCGGCTGTCTGCAATATTGTCTATCACATTGAACAAGGTTCGGAGAATGTCGTTTAAGTCCGGCTACGCTTGGCACGACAGCACTATTGTGTTTTTGGTCGGTGATGTTTTGGCTAGAGGAAGTTCGAGTGGCGGAACAAAGGCGGGTATGGGGGGGGTCAAATGATCAACGCTCTCTGATTGGTCAATGGATCCGGTGAACGGTTGGTGGTCGTTGAAATTTGAGGCTTCTTCTTGGGTTTGTTGTTGTTCTGGTTGATCAAAATGGCTGCCGTGTGTTCTGTCAATGTCATTTATGTCGTCGTCGCTTGAACTTTATCCATAGACGGGTAGTATCGTTTAGGCCGTAAATTATATTTATTTTCCGACATTTTAATGTAAAATATGTTAGGTCATGTGATTATTAAATATGCGATGTTGTTGTGTTGATTATTTTGGGAAACAGAGTCATTTACGGGACAAGTTAACAATGCAAACTCTTAAATCTAACAAACTTATAGGCTAGTTATGGTAGGAATTGCAATAAAGTTAATGAGCTATTCAAGCCAACACGTTGGTGCGCCAATTTGTAAACTCACCTCACAATATTCATTTTAGGCTAGGCCTATTCTATAAATGTTTAAAGTTAATAACAAAGTTATAAGTACGAATTACAAAAGATATTTTATTGAAACAAATTAACAAACATGCAACAAAATTTAAAAGGCTATGTTACGTTATAATGAAAGGACTGACAATGGAGTGTGGGCTGAAATTAAAATAAAATAGAAGATTATTTTTAAATAAAGGTTCAAATTTACAATAGTATAATTAATTTAGATGGGCTCTATCTCAGGGTAGGGTGTCGTGCTGACTTAAAGAAATAATAAATGAAATAGTGCCCAAATAATTAATGTGGTAAACTTACAAAATCCCAACAATGAAAATTAAATTTTGAGGTTGTCCAAAAGGTAAGTCCAATTTGCACTGAATTTAAAAGAGTTTAAAAGAAAAGTTTATTCTTAATTTTGAAAAATAATGTTGGAGTTAGTTTCTATTGAGGTTTACTGTAATATATCTTGAATATAAGCTGGGTTTTTCTGGATGAAATTAATTAATTTAACTTAGATGAATCTGGACTCCTTCTTTTAACAGTTTCAACTTTCAACTTTGGCTTCCCTTCTCTTCCAGTCTTCTTCAATTTGAATGTTCACATGGGTCTATTGTTGAACACACGGATCACTGCTTACTTGAATTTTGATTCCTTAAGGACTAATTTTGAAATTATATTATAAGAAATTTTGATGTATTGCAATTCTCTTACATATTTAATAAATAACTACTGTATAAATAAATTTAATGAATATTAGGCCAGCCTTTCTGAGGAGTAATAACAAAGATGTATTAACAAAAGTTTACATATTTTGAGAAACTTAATACTAAATTAAGTATTGTCTATTATACCCAAAACACTGGCCAAGCATAGTAGTTCTAATCTGTACCCTCATGTTACGTAAATAAATATTTGACTGTCAATGCACCTACAACACTGGCAAAGCATAGTAGTTTTAATCTATACCCCCAGGTTACAGAAAATGTCAGGTATAGCTTTCAGCCTTTTTTATTGAGTTTAACTTTCATGGATTGTTGTAAATGTATTTTTTGTTCGGTATTTACAACTTTTATCTTTATTACTTTTCTTGTAAGAATCATGTTAAACAGTTGACTTATACGTATACCTTTATATTATTTTTCAAGTGATTCAGGAGGCAGTGGCTACAGGTGACCCAGAGCTGGTAGAGCTTGTACTCCAACGCAGAGACTACCAGCGGCTCTCAACTAGAGTTGGAGGTGTACCTGACCTGCTACTTAGACTAAAAGAGGTAACAATAATGTACAACTTTTTTTTACCTGATATCTTATGAAACTCATAATCATAAAGAAATATTTCTCTTTAAATTACCAAAAAGAGTTTAGGAACAATTTAAGGAAGGATGTGGTCCAGTGGATTATAGCGGACAATCAGATTACTTGGATTTCAACTAACCTGCCTCTAAATGCCCGTGACGAACATTTTTAGAACAGAGAATAATATGTTCAAATAGGCCTATTACTATAGTGCCTATTATTATAGTGTTAGTTAAAATATATTTTACAAACACAAATTATAACACAAGTTGTTGAGTGTATTATAAATTTGTTAAGATGAAAATTGTTTTATTAAGAATCAGAAGTAACCAATCATAGAGATCCCCTTAACGTACCTTAATATAGCCATTAAGAGCATGGCTTACTTTATAATTTGACATCATATTTGAACATTTACAAAAAGTTATAAAAAAGAACTCAGTATGCTGGACCATCTGATTTCATGATCTTTATCTGTAAACATGTTAGTTTGTTAGAATGGAATAAAACTTCTGATTCAGTCACAAGAAATGTGGATTGTAGCGATTAGCGACTGCTATATTTTTTTAAGTATTAACTTCCTCGTTGTAATCGGTTGGACTCAGTGGGATGGAAAGTAAACAGTGGACGGAACTGTTGTATGCAGCAGTTTTAAAGGTTATTTGAATGATATGATAACGAATGAATTGTCTGATCTGTGGTTGTTGGTTTTCTGTAAATTTTAAAATGTAATTGGCTATTATTTCTTGTAATGGTGACGTCTAGGAAATTGATGGAATTTGTTTCTTCTATTACTTAAAAGTTTGGCTATAATAGTTCCCTGATTGACAAACTGATAAATAAACAACACAATAGAAATATTAGCTAGACACAGGATAGTAATAAAAGATACATGAGCTCTATCTACGGTGTTATAGTGAACCCACACCTGGACAAAAGAACTGGCCAAAAATGATGTGATCGTATAATTTAAAACAAACAAGAAATTGCCAACCATAGTCAAAGAAAGATGCCTACCCGGCTAATAATACCGACTAATAAAATGGACAAAACAGGAATCTATTAATTAAAATGTGAAGATTGTCCCAATTTTTACTTTGGTCAGACTTCAAGATCTTTCTAACAGGTTCAAGGAACCAGTCCAGTCATTTTAGGGGAAAATATCCATCTACCTGGAAATTATTCCCTAAATGGTGAAACTTTGCACATGTGCAGTACCATAGACTATGCTAGTACCTAGTAACAACATATCAAAAATCAACATTTGTGCATGTTGTGCTACGGCCGCCAACTTGGAAAATGGCAGCCAGTTTTCACTTTTTTGACCATATTTCACAAACCGTTGGAAATACAAAAATGTTGTTGGAACCAAAGTTAAAGAACACAAAAAAAAGCCCATGGGGCGTAGCCCAAGGGAAATATGAAAATTAAACTATATAATATTGCATTGTCATCCATTTGTGAGCTATGTTTCAAGTTTCAAGTCTCTGGCCCATTGGGAACTTAGTATAAAATCGATTGCAAAATTTGTACCGGACAAGAAAGCGAGCTAATAAAAACGTTATAAAATACATCTTTTTTGGTATGACAAGATTTGCCCTAAATCTATTATTGAGAAAAACTTAAATTAATATTAAATTTAACATTCCCATGTTATTCTTATGAAAGTTTAAGAGAACTGTTGTAGTTGGCTTGTTTATGGATATCTTTTGAAACCAATTTGAAAATGTATACCATGGTATTAGCCCTTTGCCCTTGAATGGCCTCAGCTGTTTCTGAGTCAGCTTGTCATTGTTTACGCAGCGCCGTGCCTCTCAGGTCGTATGGCCAGCACTACTGGCCATTGTAGTTTCTCTGTTAGGTTGGTCACCATTCTGCCAACACAGACTAGCGTCTAGACTGCCAGTGCAACTCCGAGGATCGTGGATCAGATCACCCCCCACCACCGCACCATGTCGTACGCTTCCAAATCATGCCGGCGCATCAGCATAGCCTAACTGTTCGCGGAAAATTGATATCTCTATCACTGTCGCTGTCAAAACGTATCGTTTATAGGTTAAATTTAAATTAAAAATAATTCAACTGTCATTACCTAACCAAACTAACCAAACTTGCTGATAATGAAAAATTCGAATGAAGGTTTACTAATCGAAAAAATAGTTCTGTTCTAAAAATAATCTATATATTAATACGCAAGCAGTTTTCTTTTCACAGTCATAACTCGATAACGGTTTGACGGATTTTAACGTTTGAGGTGTCAAATCAAAGGTATTTTCACGTAGATGTGCAAATACGTCTCAGAATATTTAGAAAGGGCACCACTTAAGTACACTTAAGGGCTAAAGTTTGGAAGGTGGCGCTATCTGTTGACATTTGATCAAACTTATTTCCCTTTGTTTACAAATGACATATGGACGTAGTTTGAAATAGTTTTTAAGGTTAACCACAGACTGCAGGACTTAAAACTTCCAGAGCAAAGCTGAATTTTATATTTTGTTTCAATCTGCTAAGTCTGGTTCATAATGAAGAGTTTCCTATCAATACTAGACAACAAAGTGTTTCAGAACACTAAAATATAATCAATATTTAATAAATATTTAATTTGTTTTGTCTATGGTTAAATTGATTTACCTTACATCGTATTTTACTGATTATCATGTAGTTACAGTTCAATGTGATGAAGTGAATGTTTAAAAGTGATTATTCACAGGGCAGTTATCCGTTACATTACCATATTTTCATGTAATTTACAATGTGTATAAAAATTCCAATTCTTTTATAGTGTTTTCTGTTGTTTGGTTTACTTTCTTATTTCATTTCAATTTAAAATCAAATGCCGCCAGTAAGACGAAGAACTGCGAGTGGCTGGAGGGAACGCGAACATGACCGCTTGCATCAACCTCTCAATTGAACATTTGATAGGTACATAGTGGTAGTACCACCGTTGTGATAGTTCAATCTCGGACAAATGAACGTTAAATGTTTACATTGTAGTGGCTTACATATTTTCAAACAAGAAAAGAATGGCCGAGACAGTTAAGTTTGTACTCTTTGTTGCCATAAATGAAAGGTTCGTTTACATCATTTGTGCAATTCACCACAATAAACTATTGGAAACTCCCAATCTGAAAATAGGATTGTGAGACTTATATCCAGAAATTATTTGGATTAAGTTCGTCAATTCAGTTCTGCCTTTACCATGGTCAGCTCCAAAGTTCATTAAGATGAGAAAGTTTCACAGGGATCTACAATTTTAAGATCTTTGACACGTTTTACCACCAAGCGGGTCCTCTAATTCCTTAAGAAGGTGATGATCCTGAATACGCACAAATATATAAGTAAGTACGACAATGTCACTAGAACCCAAAGGAGAACTAAGCACAATTTAAAAAAATGCAATTAAAAACATGCGGGAAATAGGGTCACAATGCCAACCCATTTGCAAATCTTTGAAGACTGTCGCAGACATTATGTAGGGGCGAGAGCTCCGAGGAGTCAAGTGAGATTCTTATGTACATAACAAGAGACAGAAGAAGTGTCTTTTCTCGCTACAATGGTCGGAGTGAATGAATGAGAGTGAATGTAAATTTAAATATTGTAGATTGCTTTTATATTTTTTTACATCATAATATTTTTATATTTCTGTAATCAGTTATATAAATTATTTTAGAGTGACTCTTTGATTAAGGTCTTGCTGTTTATGTTTTATGTTTATTTTTTTATACAAGTTTTGCTCGATTTCGAGCAACAGGTTATCTAGTATTATAAATGTCTCAAATTCAAGTTTATAATTTTTAATGATAAAATTAAACTGTCATAACCTAACCAAACCAACCAAACTTGCTGATATGAAAAAAAATTTTGACAAAAAGTTAGTGTTACCAGCGGGATTCGAACTCGGCACCTTCCGATTATTAGCCCGACACGCTATCCACTACACCACCAAGGCTCATGACATAGCTCCTTATCGTTGCGGCAATGGTTGACGTCACGCCATCGGCACGGAGCGGTGGTGGGGGGTTTTCAGATCTGATCCACGATCCTCGGAGTTGCACTGGCTGCCTAGATGCTTATCCAACACAGCTACACCAGCTTGTATCAAGTATTTTGTTTTTGTCAATTATGGTAAGGGCAAAGGTTTTACACATTGAAACTAAAAATAAATTCAAATAAGTCTAATATTTTTATATTTTATTGAAAGCTAATGAAATAAGAAATAAAAATAAAATCAAAGTTTACTGCTTAAGTTCATACAGTACATAATAAAATATTTAATTTTAAAAATTGTCAAGAGAACTTCTGTTGCTATGGAAACTATGTAAGATTTCCCTTTTCCTATGAAACTAGGCCTTGAACTAGTTCATTTCTTATATCAACAGATTAATCCAAAAACCTTTTCTAGTCATCCGATTAATAATATTTTATCCTGGTAAATGTAACCTCACATCACAGTTTCACATGACAACAACACACTGACAGTTGATGTTATTTTACAGTGAAAATGGCGTAATACAGAGCTGCAAACCTTACAAACTAAAATTTTAATATTCTGTGAATCGAGGTACTATCTTTGTTTAGTGCTGCAGCCTACGGGAGAATTAATAAACAATTTAAAAAAAAGTGTGTTGGATGGCCACCTATACTGGCCGGACGAGCTGACGGGGAAATTAGTGGCCAGCAGTGCTGGCTGTACGACCTGTGAGGTACTGCGCCGTGTAAACATGACAAGCTGATATAGAACGTAGCAGGGCTACCATCCAGCAGAGCTGGCCATTCGAGTTGAGAGGCACTTTTCTAAAATGGCTATGAGACCGCAAAGGGTTAACATTTGTACAAAAAATAAATTTCATACTCTTTCCTGTAGTAGCCAACCTAACCCTTTCGGTCACTGTCCTTTATAGGAAGATACAAATATATTTTTAGGGGAGATATCTAACCAAATTTCCATGGTAACCATAGTTTCTCTGGATTCCTA